AAAATCCATTGTTTTATTATGTAGTCAAAATCTGTGTTATGAAACCAACAAAAATACTTGTCACTGTACATTTTTGAGTTTCACACACCTCATCCCATACACTATTAAAAAACAAACAAAAAACAAAACAAAACCCCAAAACAGTTTTTTTTCTCCACAGTAGATATAGTTATCAGGACATTTTCCATTATAACTGATTAAAAATATTCTTTTGTAAACATTTTAAGACTCAGATAATCCACAAGCAGGATTGATTTAATTTAAAATGTTTCCCAAAATTCATAGGGTGCATCACAAAGTAATGAAAACATCTACAGACTTTTTCCAGCAGCAGAAATATACATCTCTACTATCCCTAGTGTATATGACAGCCAAAGTATAGCCAAATTAACATAGCATAGTACAAGAATGATGTGATGCCATCAAAGTTAAAATTCTTTTAACCATTTTGGATAGCTAGCAGCAATCTATTTATGCCGGAAGCAGCTGTAAATTCTTTCAGACTTTACACATGATGCATTCTTACTGGCAATATCATTCAGACCTTGCAAATGGCATAGCAAAGTTAGTGGCTAGACTGCTGCAACTTATTTGGCAACATGTACTTGAAAAATCATGACATTTTTGAGGTGATGGTTTTATCTTATTAATGGCCAACATTTAAAATGGGAAAAGCTATACAGATCAAGTCAAAGATCTACAAAAAGCCTAATGCCCCATTGGGGTAGCCAATGGTACACAAGGAAGTGATGTGGCTAACATCTATCGTCACCTTTAACTCTGTACAGCCAAAATGACCAATTTGTATATTTAAAACTGGGCCAGTGGGTCATGGGCATTGGGCAGGAATGTGAAGTAAGGTTCAAATGCTTGTTTCTGGATATGTAGGAAGACACATGACCTATTTGGTCCCCTTCAATGTTAATAAAAGGGGATGTAAATTCTACAGATTGATCAATGCCTTGTGCCTCTAGTGTCCTTACTGAAATGACTGGAATGACAAAGAACTGAATGTAATCATATTAGCATCTGGCTGTTGGAGTTTTATTTTATAAAGAGAATGTAAATCTGAAAGTATTATTTTGCTTAAGGTCTAGCAATCATTCAAGTGAATAAGAGAAAAACACTGCAGTTTCAGGAAAAAAGTTTTGCAGCAAAGGGAGCAAGAAAACAAATTCAAGTTTCTGTTAACGTGCCTAAGAGCACAATTCGACTATGAATTCATACACTTCGCTGGGCATAAACATCCTTTATTCTTTTACTGCTGTTTCAATTAGACATTAAAGGTACAAGGGTGAAGGAGATGGGAGCACAGGTGGTGTTCCTCCACGATCTTTTTGGTTAAGAGACAGGAATGGATGCATCCTGCACATCAACACATGGCTGCAAAGATGGTATCGCCAGCAGGGATTTGGCTTCTTCAACCATGCAATGTTATTCCAAGAAGAAGGATTGCTAGGAAGAGAGGGAAGAGCATTTTGGTAGACAGGCTCATTTACCTAGTGAGGATGGCTTTCAACTAGGTTCACTGGCGGATGGAGACCAAAGACCTGCGGTAAGTGGGGAAGTGGGAGACTGGGAGGAAGCATAAGGAGGGAGCAACAGGGAAGGCCTTCCCACTGTTATTGTTGGTGGGTGTCTGCTATAGAGCACCAGACCAGGAGGATGAGGTAGGTGAGGCTTTCTTCAGAGAACTGGGAAGGAGCAGGGGGATTTGATAGTAGCCTTCACCTACCTGAAGGGTGGTTACAAAGAGGATGGAGCTTATACTGTTCTCAGTGGTGGCAGATGACAAAACAAGGAGCAATGGTCTCAAATTTCAGCAAGGAGAGTTTAAGTTGGGTATTAAGAAAAACTCTCACTAGGAGAGTTGTGAAGTGCTGGAATGGGTTACCTAGAGAGGTGGTGGACTCTCCTGGAGGTTTCTAAGGCTTTACTTAAAGCCCTGGCTGGAATGATCTAGTTGGGAATGGTTCTACTTTGAGCAAGGAGTTAGACAAGATGACCTCCTGAGGTTCCCTCCCAACCCTAATTTTCTATTATTCTACGATCACCTTTATTCAAGAGAAAACTGATCGTCTCTTTTATTTTGAGTATAGTGAAAAACACACCAAATAATTCAGAAAACAACATTTTTTGCCACAGGTAAAATGTTTAATGATATCATTTGGCGTTGCGGTAATCAATAGAGCAGGTCCCATTTTTTTTTCAGAATGGCACAAAATTATTTCTATATCTTTGAGGACTTCTGAGGAATTAGTTACAATAGATACCAGCAAGAATTACAAGTTTGGCATATTATAGCAAAACCTACCTTTAAGATCACTTGTTTAGAGAACACATTTTGTTAATATTTTCACAAGAATGAACAACTTCTGCTACACACAAGAGTAGCCTTTTAAGACAAATTTTGCAGTACAATAGTCTCAAGTCTAACAATGCATTATCTTTATTCTTTGCAGAACTTTAAAAATGTATTATAATAAGGAAACTATTGATTACAATTTACAAATACATTCTTTAATATGAAACATTAACCTGAATTACTGTACATGAGCATCTAATAATACTAGTGTTGAATATCACAGCTAAGTTCCAGGAGGAAATTGTAATGCTATAAAGTTCACCTTCAGGATGGAATGTTAACATACTTCCTTCAGACCTTTCTAAAAGACACAATATCTAGTAGCATACTGAATAGGAGGAATGAAATCAAGTACAAGTAAAGCTCTCTTCTGTTGTTCAAGACACTGAGATGTTTGAAGTTATCATAGCATAGTTTTCTGATGTTTGGAAAAAAAAGTAGTCTCAAGTTGCGATGACTAATAGGCTATTAAAGTTAAATCCAAAGCTATAGGTGCATACTTCTGAAAAACAGTACTAATGTCACATATAAAAGAGAAGAGAAATGATTAACAGCTCAACCCATGAAAAAAGATTTGGAATTTAGCAGTGTTCCTGGGAGCTGATCTAACTAATGTTTGAATATAGAGTCCCCTCAAACTTTATGCACTGTTATCTGAATTTGCATAACTAATTCTCTCCACATTTATCTGATTAGGGTTTTATCCATTCCTTCTACATTATTTATAACCTTTGAGTACACGTTAGATGGCAGCAATTCAAATCCTACTGTATCTTTTACATCAGCAGAACCACTTCTGTGGTTGCAGTTCTTCACTATTGAATTTTCACTAATATTGTATTCTCTTTCCAGACTGACTACCCAGAATCTGTAGCAGATTCCTTGAGGATATAGTGAAAAAGCAAAACAAAAACAAGCCAGAAAGAAAAACCCCACTAGAAAGCTTGGAAAAGATGAAGACAAATCTCTGTGGCAGTCAGAACTTTACAATGCTCCTGGACCAGATTACAATGTTGTTTTTTTGTTTGTTTTAATTCTCAACATCTCAAGCAGAAATCTAATTTCTTAAAAGAAACTGCCTTTTCCATGCTAATTTGCAGTTACAGCCCTCTTCCTTACAGCATTGCACTGGGAAGCTACAGATTCTTTCAGGGCAAGCATTAATCATAAAAGGCTCTAGTAAGTGCTTGGGGCCTCATGTCTTTAATGACCCTGTTCTTACTCGCAACTTAAGGCTGATCAAGTTCTTTTCTAGCTGGCAGCCTGGGGCATAGCAGTTCTGAAGACTGTCTCTGATGTGATGTTATGGTGCTAAACCCTAAGCATTTTCCATTATGAAATTAAAAAATGTTCTAAAAAATAAAATGCTGTATATATGTGATTGTAAGATTTGAATGCAATTGGTTGTAAATACATTACTTCTCTAGGCTGACAGTATTTTCCCCCTAATTTAGTCTGTTTCTTTTTTAGCACTGATATTTCCTAGAGATTTTTTCTTTTCAGTTACTATATACTTATTCTCTGTCTTCATTGTACTGTTTTATTAGAAGATTCTAGGCTGTTTAAAATGTCATTAATAATGCAAAATTTTATTCTGCAATGACAATGGAAACTACAGTATGTTCATATTACACCATAATCGGTAAGATGAGGACAGAAAATCTGAATTGTGTTGATTTTAAACTCCATGAATCTTTAGTCGAAGGCTGAAAGCTCGGCTTGGGTTTTGTTTGCATCTTCCTGGAAAAATCAAGTATAACTTCTGCAATTACTTTTTTAATCCTAGATGTAAATAATTCAAGAATTTCCCAAATATCCAAATAGAGAAGGAAGAGAGTAGATTAAGCACATTTTTAGTCAGTGAAACTGAAGTGGAAAGATATTCTTTCAGTGACATTTCATGTTAAAAATACTGTTATTATTCAAACTAGAAGAATTACACCAGTAACACACCAGTTGATGTAACATGCTATTATTTTAAAACTCTTATTCTAAATCACAGAAATACCTTACACAAAAGTCAATTCCTTCCACACAAGTGTATATGTTAAAATAAAATATCTGATCATATGTTGCAACCTGATATGTTGCAGCCCCCAAATTTTCCACCTAAAGTGTCTGAAAACCTAGCAGCTTGGAAAATATGTTTGCACCATTTAATTTATGTAGGCTTTTACCAAGAAAAAAGTTAAAAAGAAACCATCAATTTATTTTAGCAAAGGACTGCTAAATTCCAGTGGCACAATGACAGAGAGAAAGCACACGTGTGTGAGTGCACGTGCATGTGTGTGTGCATGCATGCAGATTTAAAAATCAGATTTTTCTTAGATCAGAAAATCTTAAATGTACATTTGTTATGTTTCCTTATACAATCCAAGTAATCAATATGAAAAATAAGACAAGAAATACTTGAAATGCAGCATGGATAGCAGGCTCACATCTTGTAGTTGAGATCTGCACTTCTGAATGCTGGTGACGGCACATGCAAAAACTCCTACTCTGAGTGGAGGAAATCATAAGGCCTGTTGTTTCCCATGGCAAACCAGTCTGTTCTCCAACTAGAATACTATGATCTAGGATATAATTCCACCTGGCAAATTCTGTTAGCTCTACAGGAAATGAAAAAGCTCACATAAACATTACTTAGATTTTATATCCATACAGTAAAACCACTTGTAGCCAATGTAATACTTCTTCCTGTGTGATAAAAAGTTGTCAGCTTAAACCTGTCCAGGTTGTCATTTGGTCCAATTTCCGTGTTTCTAAAAATACCGACTACAGCTTAAGTAACAAAACAAAAAGAACTTTGGAGGTACAGCAGCATTGCTTAGTGAGATAACCATAAAACCGTAGGAATTAACCATTTCCTGCATGGTAACTGAAATAACTGTTCTTCACCGAGTTGGAAGGATAAAGCAGGTGGAAGTTTGGATCTCCTGTAAAAGTTGCTGAACTTAGCTTTTCAGTTTCTCTTGGAAAGATCTCCATGTTAGGCAGTTTCTCAACATTTGTGCTTCATAGCAAGCTGAAAAACAAGGAGAGAGAGAGAGAGAGAGAGAGAGAGAGAGAGAGGGAGAAGTGAGACAAATGGATCTCATTGGTAACTTTGGCCACACCTGCAGAAAGTGACTTATCTGGATGAGAAATTATGTGATAATGGAGTTCTAGATTTTTTTCTGTTGTTATGGGAGTAGCTGAAATTAAGGCCTGAAACCAGATACAAGTGTTGGCTAAGGTGAGACCTTTCTTGCATTAGGTATTGTTTCCCTTCTGCAAGAGGGGAGGGTTTAGCTGCTTTCAGAGTACAATCTTTCTGGATTCTCCTTTATTTCATCTCCTGTGAAGGTAAAAAAAGAGCTGAGACTCACTAGGTGTGCATGCACATCTTTCCTCCAGAAGTCAAGAGAGATGATTCAAGTCTGAAGTTTAACTAATCAAATAGGTTTTGAATTCCTAAGCCAAGCTGTTTCAGAGATATGATGAATGCCCTAGTTCTTAACTACAGTTAGCAAAATGATGATCCCTAGTGAACTGAAACTCTTGTAGGAAAATAATCTTCCTTGGGCTAAGATTCTGTATGTAACATTTTAGGCCAAATTTGCTCTTGCACAGCTTGAAATCTTTTAATGAAGAACCAGCTCCAACCTTTAACTATCTAGAAGATATTGTCCACAGATTTTTGTACGCTCTTACACGTGTGTGTGTTGGGGGGCGGGGGGGGGGGGGGGGGG